AGAGAGCGTTAACTGGCATTCAAATAGAAAGAACGAAGAGGGATGTATGATGAGCATCTATTGGTTTGTAATAAATCGCAAAGAAAATTATTCGTCTTTGGCAGACGCAAGGAACTGTACTAAAGAAATATCCAACTAAAGCAAATAGACTACGAAAGAACAAATAGTCGAGAAGGATTGCCGAAAGGTATTTATGCAGTGTACAGTATACGCTGGGCAGCGACCGGCCAGATAAGGGGAACAGTTTGTTTGTTTACCGAGAGTTACACCAAATGGGAAAGTTCAGAACAAAAGCAAAATGGAAGCGTTTTTAGTTGGGTTGATGAACTGAAGGAGTGTAACGATGAAAAACAGCTGTTCAAAGTAAAAAAACAAGAATAAGATTTACATAATGAAGCTAATGCTTATGTAGAAAATTTCTATGGTTTTTTTGATGACACTCTGTTGTAGGAAATATTTGTCGTCTAGAGTACGTGGAGAATGCGGAATACCATTTCTAATACGGAAGGTTGGGCCACCCGGAAAAAAGGCATTTACGATGGAGATGCATTACTAACCAAATGCAAGATTTTAACGGAAACGCAAATCCTTCGGGGTTTGAAAATTTGTGCCTTAAAATTTGGTAAACCATACAGTTGCAGAGCTTTATAACAATAGTTATTATCGCAACATAGAACAAATCTCCGACCAAAAGTCCAATGGCTTTCTGCATTTGCTTTTAGTGAGAGACGGAGGCACTCGGAAATTAGCCTGAGCAGTAATAATACTTTTTTTTAGTAAATATTGTTGCTTTTCACAATCCTGGCAACATGCATCATCGCTGCCGAAAGATTTGTAGTGAATAAAAGTATTCTATTAAGGAAGTAAATTTCTGATAATGCTTCCGTTGATTCTCTTCACTCACTTTGTTAATAAAGTGATAGGCGAGCAGCTGAACGATGCTATCAGACTGAATTTCTTCAATCCAGAAATATTTATATTCCTGTTTGATTTCAAAATGGTAATGCCTGTTTTCCCACTTTATTGATAGCACAACTTTCACTTGCTGTAAATTCAATATCACTTTTTGCAGGTATGTAAAAGCCTGAAAGGCAAAAAAGAAAACATTAGAGTTATAAAATAATCATCAATGTGCATGAAAATGAAGTCCAATGTCGCATTTAAAAAATTACAACTGGGATAAGTCATATTGGCTGAATGCGCTGTAAATGAATTGCTGCAAAAGATAAAGGCTAAATTTATCAAAATTCCCGCTAACAAGATCAAGTTTGGATCGTGCCTGCCGTACCAGAAATTGCCCATTTTGCTCTAACAATTCGCAAGCAGCCTTCTTCGATAAGCGACCATGGTACCATAAATAATTCCTCAAATTCTCACCTAAACTTTTTCTTTTTGACTTTCTAGCTTAAAAAATCATTCCAAACCAGACTGGTCAGCGCAGTCATGCATTTTTTGCACTAGTTCGTCTACAGTGAGATTGCTTGTAGCCTCAGCATCTGGAACTTGCGACTTACTGATTCTCGAAGTTGAGTAATTAATTACGTAGCTATGTGGTGTATCAGTTGCAGACACCATTTTCAGCCACCTGATAAGCCGAAAGTTGTTGGCGCGCTAAGACGACCTCACGAAGAGCATCAGTTGCTCCTTTCAAGCACTGACTTTGCTCAAGTGGAAACGAATGTCGTTAGTATTATTCGATTAGCGATAATGCAGATTTGCACAATGCAGTTTGTCTGAGTGCATAGTATGTTGCAAAATGCAGGAGCTCAGAATGGAATTCGTCCTACCAGCTGAAATGTGGTAGTTGAAACTTATCCCATTTGTCTGCGAGAAAATGGCATAAACGAGGATTAATTTTATCTGGAACAATGAGGCAAGTAAGCACTCCTTGCAAATAGACACATACAAACCATGGAGAGACAAGGCGTGACAATGTGAGTACTGTACGAAACAATGTGAGTGCTGTGCGACTGTTGCTTAAAATGGATAAAAACTTCCACTTATTCTTCCATGTCGTTGAATATTTACTGTTATTTAAATTTTTTAGAACACTGCAGTGAATTAGAAACAATGAATAGGCTGCCAACCAGTCGGTTGAGAAGAATTCAGTTAGCTGCTTCTGTTTAGCTTTTATTTTAGCTTTTTCTGTCATCAAATGGCAACGCATTAGTAACATACTACTGAGACCGTTGTTCCGATTCTTCGAAAATATGTACACCATGCGATTTTGTTTCGGTAGTCGTAATTGCAATTTTCTTCGAAATCGGAGTTTGTAAAACAATTTTTTCAAGTTCTGACTACTCTGAAAACACAACACAGTTCAATTTTAGTAGTTGGCGATTAATGTTATAAAAAAAAGCTTACATGAAAATAAATAAAGTTCTAAGCACGGTGGACAAAAAATACCAACACGATTAACTGTAGAAACTAAAGTCACTCGCTATGAGTGGTTAAAGAGGAACAATAAGGAGCCAGGAGGGAAGCCTTATTTCTGTTTCCTATGCAGTGCATTGAAACGAAGGTTTGCTCTGGATAGGCGCAAAGAATTCATGGAAATATCAAATTGGAATGAGCGTACTGATAAAGGGACCCAACACTTTTCAGTCCATTTGCGCAATGAACGATTTTATCAATCAAGATGGCTTTATAACTTTCAACAAGTGCGGCAGGCATGGAAAAGGACAGCTTCATCCGACAACATCAATCTGTCCATCACTTTTCTCATTATGCGTTTTTGCATATGCACAAAAGCAAAAACGCATACTGCGATGAACCCGATGTGTGTGTGCATATGTTCGTCTGTCCAAACATTTCAGCTCGCCAACCACGCAAGCTGAAATTTTGCCAGTGGATTTCGTGGTCAACTGCCACCCCGGGACCGCAGTACCAACCCTTATGCACTTCTGGGCCCCACGTAGGAGCGAGTGAAAGTTCTGGCGGGAAAATCACTGAATTGAACTAGAAAAGCTCGAAAGCTGGAATCTTCAGATTATGTTTCCGTCCACATACAACTCAAAGATTCCAAATTCAGCCTCCATAGTTGCGTGATTTCCGCGTACAGCCCCATGAGGTTTCCTGAAGCGAAAATGGCTAACTTGGGAACCAGGAAAGCTGGGAGGCTGAAATTTTCAAGGAATCTTCCCAGCATAAATAAAATATAAACTTATCAAATTCAGCCTTCAGTCCTACGTGGTTCTCACGCGC